CCAACGAAACACTGTTAAAGAGTAAAGATGAACAACCCGTCCAGCAAGGAGCAGCTGTTTGGTATTGTCATGCTGAGGAGGTTCATTTAAAGTTTAACTTCAGAGTAGAAGGCTTAGGGTTAGATAGGTAAGAGTGAGAACCAGCCTGAGGTTTGTGTACATGCTGCTGTTACAGACGGTGTGAACAGAGAACGAAGTGTTATGAGATCCTCACCTTGACATTCGGCTTCCTGGTTGAGAATCCTCTGAACCAACCTGAAAGGAAACAGAAACATCAGTCAGATCACTCGTCTGCAAAAACGTTTTCCAACAAAGACGAGAAGCTCCACCTTAAAGCTGCCTCACGGTGGAACCGAACCAAAACGGGATTCATCCCGTCACAAAGATTTAGTAAACTGTGAAAAATAATTCATAAAAAAACATGAAAGTCTGGTAGAAAGGAAGAACGAAGAAGAGTGGAAGACTGTGAAGTTCAAAGACAGTTGAACCTGTGAGAATATCTGTAGAATGAAAATGTTTTCAGCTGATGTACAGTCACACAATGCAAAAGAACAAAAAGAAAATACAGATTATTTTTTAAAGTGGACATTATGCAGTTTTACCATGTTTTATAGTCAAAATGTAGATTAATATTTCTTTATATTTAGTGATGCACGATACTAAAACTCCTGGCCGATAACGATATCCAATATGAAGATTTCTGATAATGCTGCTACATTAAAGGACCATTTAACTAAAAACATCTGTGAATAGCAGCGACATCAGACGTAGAGACGAAGGTACCGCCGTCTCTACAACACACACCTGCATATATATAATAATATATAACATTAAAGGTGTGATACTGGAGTAACTCAGCTGCACATGTCAGAACCAGAAACGGATTCTGAAGAAGAAGAATGATTTAATTGTAGAAAACGTATTTTTGAGGCCGTTTTAACGATGTTCGCTACTCGTCTAGTGCATAGAAACACGTCAGCCAGGGAAACATGGGGATTTTCAGTGAACATGGACTTTAAAGAGGAACAGTTATCAATCGGATCATGAATATTTATTAGAACTGGACTCAGAAGCTGTGGTGGGTCGCTGACTGAGCTGCTGTCTGCTTAGAGGAGGTTAAACTTCATGGATGTTCTAAATGTTCATCACAGAGTCAGACGGACATGAAGCTGCTCTGGTGCTGTCGTCTGTCTTTAACTGATATTAAACATTTCTACACATGAATAGTGCTTTGTACCAGTTTGAAGCAGCTCAGTGGTGGTTAGCGTAGCGCTACACGCTCTCTGTACGGTAAACACAGACGTACAGCTCAGATCTCAGAGTTTAAAGTCCATCCAGGATGTCGGCCTGATGCTGCCGTTCTCGACCTGCAGAGACCGAAGCTCGCTGCTCTTCTGGGTCTCCGAGGCCACGGCGGTTCTTTCCACATGGACGGATATTCATCAGATGCCTCTGCGGACCAGAAAGCTGTCACGGAAGTTGACTCAACTTGAAGTAAAACCTTGACAGCTGAAAATCACGAGTATCCAGGGACTGAGTAGGAAGAGGGGGAGCAGCCAGACGTCCTCTCAGAACGCCGCCACATCATCTGTCTCCATCCGAGTGGAAATAAAAATGATTGTGTCTCCGGCGGACGCGAGGGTCGGCTGGCTGCTGCCTGTCAGAGCCGCAGCGCAGCTAAAGAGACATTTATTCACATCAGAATGATGCGTTTCATGTCGGTGACCTTCTGAGTGATGAGGTGTGCTCTGCTGGAGGTGACTGATGACGCTCTGATGGCACACGAGCTGATGCAACAAGACGTCCAGTTTGTTCCTCAAGATAAAAGCTTTTAAAGAAGGTTCACAAAGTTTCTCAACCTGAACAGAAAGATTGTTTTGATGTTGTGAAGTAGGTCAGCGCTGATCCATTCATTTAAAACAAATCAGGGTTCTCCTCCTCCAGTAGATGAACCTTCAGCTCCATCAGTGATCCTGTTGGTCTCCATCAGTCTGAACATCTGGATTCCGTTCTTCTGATAAAACTGTTCAGACTCGGTCAGGTTCCACAGGGATCATGAGCGAACATGCTTCACATCATGATGCTGCCACCACCGTGCTTCACAGTGCGGATGGTGTGTTCGTGATGATGTCTGGTGTTTGGTGTCCGGTAAACGTAGCATCTAGCCGGACTGGTTCCATCACACCAATGACTTCTCACAAGCCTCCTGGTGAACTTCAGTCCAGATGTATCGTTCATGTTTAATAAGATTCACTGATTTCTTCTGAATCCAGCTGCGACTCGTCACTATTTCCATCCCAGTCCTTCACAAACCACCTTGAAAGCACCCTTTTAAACCAACACATCGATGAAAATGGTGCCCAAATACCCAAATAAATGTATTCACACACTGAGTAAATAGGACTAAAGAAGGCTCTCCCCTCCATGCACATTAAAATAAGACAGACAACAAACAGAAACGATGTGTTTTCATGCAGCTGAACTTCTATCAAACAGTTTCCTGCTGCTCTTGACTCAGCGTCTGTCGTCGCTGCACATCGCCTGTTTGTTGGATGAAGCGTCCACGGTGTTTGTGCAGTAGCCCTCGCCGCCAGAAGGGGGAGACAAAAGCTCCAACATTCAAACAAGAGCAGCTCCAGGGAGACCGGCGCTAACCAGACAGGACGCGTCGCATCAACACTCCTCTTATCTCGCTGCAGAATCCATTTTTCTCTGCCGTTTTCCATAATCTGATCTGAATATGGAGATGGGAGCTTAATTGGCTGGATAATTAATAACCAATCACGATTCATTTATCAGCCTCGTTAGGATGGCTGTGTTTACTCCCTCGCCTCTCATCTAAATGGTAATCAGACTGTAGCAGCGGCAGCAGCGTCTGTCTGAGGGTTGAAACCAGGACGAGCGCTCAGCAGCTGCACCTTGTTGTCCAGAACAGCCTGGACCGGCCCGGTTCTAGGAGTCCTGGAGAAGAACCACATCATCAAAACAACCAACCAGCCGCTTACATTCAAATGATTTCTGGACACAGAATTCAATCAGCTTGTGATTTCACATCTTTCTGAGGGGATTTCACCTCATCTGGAGCCACTTCACATCGTTTTGTGGTGATGAGGGGTTTTATGTATGTATGACATGAGAACGGACCCGGATCGGCCCAGCTGCTCATATTTAAATCATTTGTGAAAATAGAATTATATCAACTCTGCATCTTCTTGAAGTGATTTCACATTTTAGTATTGATTTGGCTTCTGTGGTGCTTTCCCTGTTTTTGTGTCTTTTTGTAGTAACTTCACACGTTTTCATGGTAGTTTTGAGTCTTTTTGTGATGATTTAGCATCTTTTTGTAGTTATTTCGTAACTTTTTATGAACATTTTGCATTTTTTGTTATGATTCTTCATCTTTTTGTAGTAATTTCATGTGTTTTCATGGCGGTTTTCAATGTTTTCATGGTGATTTTGCATCATTTTGGGGCTGATTTCACGCTGTTGTATTAATTTAGCATTTATCTGTGCTGGTTTTAAGTTGTTTCGTGGTCATTTTGATTTTTTTTGTGGTGATTCTGCGTCTTTTTGTGGTCATTTTTTGTCATTTTATAGCAATTTCACATATTTTTGCAAGGGGTTTATGTCTTTATGTTGTGATTTTTCAACTCTCTGCTATAATTTTGCACCTTTTTATGGTGATTTTGTGTCTTTTTGTGGTGATTTTGTGCCTTTTTGTAGTGATTTTGTCTTTTTGTGGTAATTTTCTGTCTTTTTGTCATGATTTCATGAGTTTCTGTAGTAATGTCATATGTTTTTGTGGTGGTTTTATGTCTTTTTATAGTCATTTTGCACCTTTTTGTGGTGGTTTTGTGCCTTTTTGTGGTGATCTTGTGTCTTTTTCTCCTCTACATTGACACCATAACACCAGACAGGGAGCAGACCAGATTCCATGTATTTCTGTGGTAGCTGTGTGTTGGTGGTGACTCTATATTTGAGGAAGCAGAGATGATTCGTGTGTTTTACATCCATCCACGGATGCCTGTGAGCTCCTAATTGGTCCATTTTGTCCCACAGCCGTTATCTGAAGAAGAGTAATCATCTTGGCTCACACACCGGTTATTAGACTAATCACTCTGCATCGTTATCAGAATAATTCCCGATAATAAATCAGGTCTGAGTGGGGGGCCGGACTGGAGGAGCCGCTCTGGTCCAGTTGATGCAGGTTCCCATCAGATCAGCCAAACGCGGCTCTTAAGCGACGCTTCGTTTCCCTGCAGAGACGGTTTATGGAAAAAGGAGTTGATGCAGGAAAGGCTCCCGAGAGGCCGCCTCCAGGTTCTGGTTCTGACGGGGATCCAACGGTGCTGTGAGCTGTTAATTCAGCAACATTCAGGATGGATTCATCAGGTCGCAGCCTCACCGACACCGGACACGCTGCCGGGCCGACTTCAGCACCAGAAGCTCCACCTGGACCAGACGGAGCTTCGGTTCCGTCCTCAGTGAGCCCAGATGGTAAACCGTCATTCCTGGCAAACGTCTGAGCGTCAGAGGGATCGGATCCGTCCTCAGCACTGAGCCAGAACCAGACACTTGGCATCAGCTGGACCTCTGAGACTCCGACTGAATAATGAATCCTGCTGCTGAACGATAGTCAGGCCTCCAGGATTTTGTTCCCTCCACTGCAGGTGAGCTGCTGGACTGGACGATGTTCTCTTCCATCACTAGAAGGTTCTACAACAGAACCCTACAGGATCGATCCAGTAACAGTGGAAGACTGCACAGTTTAATGCACCACAAAAATACATGAAGTCTGGTCTGCTCCCAGTCTGATGTCTTGTCAGTATGAAGAAGAAAAACACAGAAAATCACCACAAAAAGGTTCAAAATTACTTCAAAAGCACCCAAAATCACCACAAAAACACATGAAATCACAACAAAAGACAAAATAATCATCAAATAAAGATCCAAAATAACTAGAACAAGATTAACTCACCACAAAAACACACAAAATCACCAAGAAAAAATGTGAAATTCCTAAAAAAAAACCCACACAAAATCCCCCAAAAAGGAGCGACGATCACCACAAAAATATGTGAAAGCACCACAACGAGACGCAGAATCCTCACAAAAACACATAAAGTCACCGCTCAGAGAAGTGAAACCACCAGTTAATATAATTAGGTTCATAGAAATCATTTCAACACGAGCAGTCAGTAAAAAGTAGGAAACGAAGCAAATTCACCACAAAAACAAATGAAATCACGACAGAAAGACGCTAACTGACACAAACTGATTTGAAATTAGTCA